TTAGAAAAAGGCCTCAGCTTGTCCTGTTGGTCTCATTCTATGGTTGTCTTCCCAGTGTCGGTGCTGAGGGTATGTCTACATTGCAGTCTGACTGGATTACAGCTTGAGTAGATATGTCCAGGTTGGCATGGCTGCAAATAGCCAGGCAGATGCAGTAGTATGGACGTTAGCACAGGCACAGAACCCTGCGTACCTACTTGGGTGGCTAAAACCACAACTCTGCATCCATGCTGCTGTTTTGAGCCATGCTTGCACAGGCCTGTACTCTTGAGCTGCAGGCAAACCCTGGATTGCGTATTGGAAAGAGGGAGACCTACACCTAGAATACTAGAACTGGAAGGTTCAAGAGATCAAGTCCAGTCCCCTGCCTCACGGCAGGACCAAGCACCATCTAGACCAGTGTTTCTAAACCTTTTTTTTTAAAGTACCCCCCCCCTTTTTTTTAAATGTAAGTACCCGAGTACCTACAGTTTTCAGACACACGCACACTTTTTTTCTACCGTTGCAACACATTTGTTTAAACAACTTACTCGTAGCCAGGCGGTCGATGTACTTTTTGCACCCAAAACATTTCAAAAATAATAAAACGCTGTAAAACTTAAAACAAAAATTCAGTTTTCTCCAAATGTCAGTTGTTGATGTACCCTCCAGACTTCTGTCAAGTACCCCTAAGGGTAGTTGTCCCACTGGTTGAGAAACACTGCTCTAGATCGTCATCACCTGCTCTTAAATATCTCCGGGGATGGAGATTCCACAGCCTCCCTAGGCAACTTATTCCCGTGTTTAACCACCCCAACAGGAAGGTTTTCCAACTCCCCTTGCTGCCATTTCAGCCCATTGCTGCTTGTCCTATCAGAGGTTAAGGAGAATAATTTTTCTCCCTCCTCCATGACCAGCAGGGGAGACTCAGATTTTGGGGATGAGTCAGTGTCATTGCACTACACTGGGCCAGGATGGTCAATCCCAACCTGACATGACCTCCATAATAGCCCTCTCTGGCTTGGCTTCATCAGACACATCTCGATATGACTTCAACAGCCCCATCCCTTCCGATAGGTGCCCAGATGTAAAATTCCCACAACTACAATATTCCTATGCATGGTTTCCTCACCTTAGAGCTTGGAGGGGAGCGCGTCTCATTTGTCTGTCTTGTCTGACTCGTTATACCTAGTAGCTGACAACTTCTCTCTCTCTCTCCTCTTCTCTTCTTTGGGTCTTAGGGTTTACCGTGTTTCCCTCCACACTTCCCAAATTCTGCCACCACTGCCTCCCCCTTACCTTCGCCTTCCAAGCACCTTGGATCCAGCGAGGAACCACAATGCTGAAAGCACATGAGCAGGGCAGAGTGTGCGCCTTAGGAACTCGCCTCGATCTAACGTATTCACGGGGAGCGACCTTTATCCGCTCCCTTTTTCACTTAGGCCGATATTTATGTGCAAGTGCCTCTGGATGTTGATAGGGTGTAAAAGCTCAGTGTTTTTTAATGTTTTTGTTTTGTTTTTGTTTTAAAAGAATTAAATTAATTTTTTTAAATTGTTTTGTAAAAAATTGAAATAAATTGAGGCTCTGTTTAGGAGCTTGGCCTGCTGAGGACAATCACCGGCGTGTGGCGGCACTTCACAGCTTCAGGAGGTTGCTCCTTTCTGAGCACGAGGTGTTTAAACCGAATCCTGGGTTCACTCTACTGGCATGGGAGTGACGGACTGAGAACGCGGACTGGCTCCAGGTATTGTGCAAATCACTGCTGTGTAAAGGCCCTCTGCTCCCTCGCTCTTTTGGAAAATGCCCCTCCATTCTGCTGTATTAAACGTGGGCAGCTACACCGTCCTGCCAAAGCGCCTAGCTCCTGACGATGGGGCAGCCCCTGCTATCGCCGCATGCAGAGAACCAGTGGGGTGCAGTGGACTTGTCCATCTGGCAGCAGAATCCACATGCCACACAGGGAGTAGACTCGGACACCCGCATAAGTGAGGAGCCAGCCGTGGAACCTTCATCTCCAGCAACGCAGGCCTCTGTCCGTGGAGCCTGAAGCTCTCTGTGGCGGCAAACACAGGAGGGAGGTCACGGATCTGTGTGCTCAGCAGCAAGAGGGCCACCTCTCGTGGGCCGTCAGCACGTGAGAGCGAACCAAGGACTAAGAGCTCTGCTGAATTCGATTCCTGACTGCTGCAGTCGTGCTGCGTTCGTTCCCCCACGTTTGTATGCTGAGGCTGATACCATGTATACCGCATAGGGGAGCTGTGGGAAGTGCTTTAATATTTGTACAGCACCGGGAAGAAGAGGAGAGAACGCTTTGGAGGGTTCATATTCCAGTTTGGTTCGGGCATCTTAATTCTGACTGTCAGCTGTCGCAGTGCCGGGCCAGCAAACCGCTCTGCCAAAGACCCTCCTTTCTGCCGGACTCCTGGCTCTGTGCAAAAGCCCAGGGCCTGAATGCCAGGGCCTAAAGCTGGAGAACTTGTCTTGGACAGCTGTTAATGGCAAAAGAGAAGCTCTTCCTTGTCTGCCTGAGAAGATGGACTTGCTGGGCAGTGGCGTTAGCATGCAGGGGTGGCACCGTGGTCCTTCCAAGGCGCTGCCGGGGTAGAACAAGGAGTACAAGGATGTACCGTGGCTGGCACGTCGGTCACAGGGACAAGAAAGCAGTTTATTTTTATTGCACTTTTAATAAATGTTGACTATTCTAAAGGATTTAGCTGCCCTTTTTTTTTTTTTTTTTTTTTTTTATCACCATCTAGGCTCAGTCTCTATGATGGAATTTATCTTTTCCCCTGATTTCTCTTGCCTGCATTTCTCCTCTATAAGCACAGACAGATGTACCCCCCAGCACCCCGATTGGCATCCCTCCCTAGTTTTGGGCTAGCTCTGAGCCACTAGCTTCTGAGAGAGCCAGTCTCCAAGTCCTCCCAAGCCTCAAGCGCATGCTGGGAAATGAGGCGGTTTTAAAGGGCTGCCGGTGATGGGGGTTGGTTGTTGGGGTAAATCCGGGGGAATAGACCAGATGGCAGCGGGTGCAGGGCTCTGCCTGGGCTGCAGTTTGCAGTGGGAAGTAAATGAGCAGACGGCAGGCAGTTGTACTGTGACACAGGCACCAGCCCCGTCCCCTTCCTTCTCTATTTGTCCCCTAGCCATTACAGGTGAGATGTTGGTGATTGTTGGGTCGTCTGATCCATCCCCCCGTCCCCAGACTGAGCCCCTTCCGTACAAAAGGTTCCGCCCAGCACTGGACTAAAAGTCCTGGATGCAGCAGGCAGGGAGCTGGCCTGGACAATGCGCGTGTTCTAAGGCTTGCTATAAATCAGCCACCTATTGAATCGGTGACAGCAGCAGGGCCCTGCAGAAATGCTCCCCTGGCAAAGCTCTCATGCCCATGCTGGCGACCTGCTCTCCTACTCCAATCCCTCTTGACGGCTTGGAGGGGGAGAAGAGCTGGGGAGAGCACCAGGCTGGCCCATCTGCAAACCGAGCCTTCCCCCCCTATTCAGGGGGTTACAATAAGATCTCTAGAGGCACACTGCAGAGGGGGTCAAGTGGGGTGAGGGTAAACACTTGAGCATTAGGGCGTCTGTATGGGGGTTGCCAGCTGCTGAAAATGATTGATTGGTTTTTATGGACAGTACAGACAAATTACAGGCGCACAGACTTTTTTTTTTAAGACCCATTATTCTGTAATACAAAGATGGCTCAAAAGGGCACAATATTTCACATGCATCCAGACACAATCCCATTCCTCCTACAGCCCTCCTGCCCGGCCCCTCCTCCCAGCCAGGGAGGGGACTCCTAGGAGCTGCTTGCTGGCTGGGGCCAGGGGCCACCCCTGTGACCACCATGCTGTGAGCTACAAATAGGAGCCAGGGGAAGGCTGGTAGGCCCAGCCCGTTGTACCCTCCCCCCCCGGGGGCCTGTGGGGGGGGGGGTGCTGCACACATGCCCACCCCTACAGGTGCTGCTGTGCTGATGCTAGCGATGCCCAAGAAGAGTTCAAGGTGGGAGGCAGAGAAGAACCACCCCCAGGCACAGGTCGGAGGGCGCCCTGCCAGGAGCATCCCCCTCTGTCCCAGGAATTTAGATCCCTCTGGAGCTGCCCCACCCTAAAGACGTCACCCTGGGATTAAGGGAGAGGAACCCTGCTCCACTGTAAAGCTTGGTGGGGTGTCTTACTGGTCTAAGGTGTTTTTACCCAACTCTGATTTTAGCTCTTTTATGGACTGTCCCTGAATTTACCGAGGGCTGGCAGCCATGAGCGGGACCCTGGCTCACGATATCCAGCTGAGTGCTGGATTGATGCAGACGCTGGGGAAATGCTAGGGGCATCTGGTCTGGATTTAAAGCGGAGCACCTCCATGAAGGAGCAATGGCCTGGAGTTAACCACTGCAACCAGTGCTACTGACATAAAATAGTAGAACTGCTATTGCTGGCTGTGGTTAAAGAGAAACATTTAGCTCCATTAGCAGGTCTCTAGCAATGGTGTATTCACTGAGTCCTCCAGGCTTGAGCAATGCTGCAAAGTCGTCCTGTTTAAAGACCTAGCTGGAGACAAGTGGCTGGTGTCTTACCACGCTGCTGTTAAAGGAGGTAAGTGATCGTTACGGAGAAGCATCTAGTCTGTTTTTCCCCCTCTGGTACATGGGCTAGTCCATCTTTAATGGAGCTGTGCAAAGTTCTCAGTGAACCGGTAACCCCTGACAGGACCAGAGTCCTGCATGTTAGAGAAATTAACTACTCCTTTTCCCCGCTCCCACTGCCCCATTCCCGTCTATGGTTTTGAATTTTAAAAAATGGCCAAGCTAAATATGGAGAGGTGGCTTTTCAACAGAAAATGCAAATTTCTGCAGTTTTTAAGGCACTCCTATTGTAGTAATTATTCCTCCCCCTCAAACTTAAACATTAAAGCACAAGTGCTGGGGTGGAAGGTAGTTTTACAACTTTTTTCACAGCTTCAGCTTGGTCTTCAGGTGGGGTTTCCTCCATTGACCAGCGTTGGAAGTAAAAAGCCCCAGCCCCAAATATCAAGCTGAATAACACCAACAATAGTTGGACACTAACAAATATAGTTATGAAATGTTTAATAAAGCACACAGTATAAAATTAAATAGTCACTTTTTATAGATACACAGCATTTGCACTCTTCTTTCCAAGGGCTGATGGTTTTCTCTCCTTTAGAAATAATCACAGCTAGACTATTTTTTTCACAGTGTTATGGGGTTCCAAGAAAATAATCCTTTTACTGTCACTACTTTGTCATCAGTGAGTTGAAAGTGCTGAGTCTATTCCCAGCCGTGTCTTAGCAGAATATGGCACTGGTGTGAGGCACATGCATCTTTCCTGAGAAGCACCAGTCCTAGAAATACACCTTTGGCACAATACACTTTGTGCAAGCCTTCAGGGTTCTGTTAGCTACGTAACATTTACAGGGGTGACAAGATTGAGGTGGTGGCTTAATATGCTGCTATACACAACCCCTCCACCAAGGTTCCCTTTAATTTTTTTCTATCCATGTGAAGAATAAATTTTGTGCACTCAGGCATGTGCAGATGTATACCACCAGTAGAAACACAAGCTCTCCTGGGTGGCCGCCCAGGTGCTCAGCTTACAGGGAATGCTGTCCCTTACTTTGCACTGGCATCACTGAAGTTTAAAGTGCATAGGCGCAGCAGCATGTAGGCTGAGAACAGGGACTGCTACCGCTTGGCCATGAGGTATGTTGGCAAAGCCCAGTAGTCGGCAACTTGGCCTAGGTCAGAGAAGTGGAGGGGCATGGCTAGCCCTAGGGCTGCTTTTCAGTGCCAACTCTAGTTAGAGAGCAGGCTGGTACCAGGCACAGTAGAGTTGTTCTGTGTAAACAGGGTGGTGCCCGGCCTTGTGTACGTGACGGTCCTTGTGAAGCAGCGGAGGTTCCCGGTTTTCAGGGCGCACTGAACTGGCCACAGAATGATGCACAGTAGGATGATGGCGAGGGCAGAGAGGAGGACGATGCGTTTCCAGTCATCGCATATGGCGCAGCGGGACAGCCGCCCGGCCATGCCCTCTGTTGGCGTCGTGGGAACGTTGGGCTTGCTCATGGCCACGTCGAGCCAGATGCAGGCGTTGGGGTCTTCTGTGTCCTGGGATGATTGTCGGCAGCACAGCTTGCTGCCTTCCATCCACACCAACTTCTCCCGCTGGAGCTCAGGAGGCAAGGTGGACAGGAGCTCCTTGCTGGTCTGGAGTGCTGGAGGGCCCTCGAGGGGGATCTCCGTTGGCTGCCTGCACAGGGGGCAGGGCAGGTGGTCCTCCACCCGGTGAGGCGGCAGCGCCGAGGTCAAGCGGGCCACACACTCCAGGCAGAAGACATGGGTGCACTGCAGCAACTTGGGTGTCTTGAAGCTGTTGTCGTAGGTGTTGAAGCAGATGGAGCACTCGATGGGGGAGGTAGGCTTGGGGGAGGTCGGGGAGCTGAGCTTCCTGCCATAAGTGGGGGAGGTGACTATGATGGGGCTTATGGGAATAGGCACCTCATCCTGAGCGGCAGGAATGGGGCTGCTGGGGGAACGGGGCGTCTCGGTGCGCCGCATTTGGGGTAACCACGACATGACTGACCCTGAGGAGACAAGCAGAACAACATTAGAGGCTAGGTAAGAGGGAGGGGAAAACGCTTTGCTACGTTCTCCTAAATATTTACCCCTAAAGAGAGATTAGTCTGATGCAGGTATGAGCGTGGCTCCCTTGAGAACTGCAATTCCCACAGAGCTGAAATTAGGGGGGGGGGTAGATATGAAAGTAAGACCCCACGCCCGCAATCCTCCTCCAGCAAAAGTTGTGTGGGGGACAGAGACAAGCCACCAGCAGGCATCCGGCGAAGCTAGCCAAAACATTTCCACCACAGCCGCTGGAAGGAGTTCACAACGGCTGCCTCCACCTGCCACCAAAAACCAAAAGACGTACCCCACTGGCCGCTTCCCATCACCTGAGACGGGAGGAGCAGAGCAGAAGTTTCCATGAAGTCAACTAAGGACTTGGCTATGCCAATCTATTAAGCGGGGAGGTGCTCAGGGGGAACGGTGATGGGCACCAGTACAAAAGCCTAAGATAAATAGATAAATTGTAAAAAAAACAACAAATGGTCTGGTAGCACTTTATAGACTAAACATGGAGATGGGATCATGAGCTTTCTTGGGCACAGCCCACTTCTTCAGATAACTGGTATTATGAGCTTGGGATATGAAAACTTGAAAGCGCCCCCATGGACTGATAGAACATCCCCTTCAGCTTTATGGTCAGCACCCCCAGCCAGGTGCCTTCATGTGCCCCTGAGTGTCCTCTCCAGTGCACCCCCTTGGGAATGGGTGGGGGACCCCGGTTGTTTGCCAGATTAGGTCTCTCCTCTGCCCCAATAGGAAACACAGCAAGCTTACCTACCTTGCAATCATGACATGGCAAGAAACATTGCCTAAGGAAATTCCCTCCTGAACCTGAGGGAGGAGAATTCCTCACTAAGCTATTTCCTTGTTGTGCTATCTCCTAGGGAGGCGGCTTCTGCCTGGTCACCTCAGACTGACCGCGCCAGCCTGCCCCGAGCTACGTGATGCCCTGGTGCTGTCTGCCCCCAAGGATGTCCGCGTGGGAGGGAGCTCTGGCACCGAGTGCCAACGCTGCCACCCTGTCAGCAAGTGAATTCACAAGCTTGAGGTGGAGTCACTCCAGTTGGTGTGTAAATGTGGCCTCACAGTTGGAGGCTATCTGTAGCCATGACAACAGGGCAGCTACCCTGACTTGGGGGAATATTTAAAAGTTTGTCTTGGAAAGTGGACATTTAATTGGAGGTTTCCCCAGAATTCCTGGGAAGCATTGGTTTCAGACTAGTCACTGAACCGGGCGAACCTGTTGGCTTTGTTTTGCAAAACAGCATCTGGATGACATGCTAGGGTGTTCTAAGCACAGCCCTTCTTATAGCACCCGACTTGCTCAGTGGGTAATTCCCCACCCTTGGCATGACTCGTCTCATCTTAATGGTATTGAAAATCCTGCTTTTTCCTCCATGTACCTAAGTGTGTCCCCATCAAGTGCATACACACCCTGCAGGAAATAAAATACTGCTGAATTACAGACTAACAAAACATGTAGATCTTCAGATGACCGGGCTGTGCCCATGAAAGCTCATGATCCCATCTCCATGTTTTGTTAGTCTATAAAGTGCTACCAGACCATTTGTTGTTGTTTTTTTTTTAAGTTTATCCTGTTCAGACTAACTCGGCTACCCTCTGAAGCTGCCGAATAAAGCTAATCTTGCTAGGGCTGAAGCTAATTTTAGGTACCCAGATTTGTACCTCTGAGCCAAAACCTGGTCTGTTAACGAGGAGAATTTAGCTCTCATGTCTCCCCCTCATCGCCTGCACAATAATGTTTTTATCTTATGGTCACCTAATCCCTTCTTGATTCTACAGGTTGCCGGGTGGCTCTTGTTGACACCTCAGCAAATCCTAGCATGTATTTATTTTATTGCACTAAAACCTGAAGTTGACATGGGGTCTGGTTCCAGCACAGCCCTTTTCAAACCGTTCACCAGCCAGAGCCCAGTTTTCAGGGAACTTGGGGCAGTTTCCTGGCTTTCAATCAAAATCAGACAGACTTTGTGGCTTCTTAAAACTCCATCCAGGAAAATCTGGCTGACTTTTTTTTTTTTTTTCACCCAAGTTTCATTTTTCAGTGTTTGGGGCACCAGGAGCACCCACATGGACAGGTGATGAAGGATGCACCAGTCTGTGCTGATATCACAAAGTTCTGCACGAGTTAATATGGCTAGAAGCCTAAAAAGCTTGGTGAAAACTTTTCACGAGTGCTCCATAATGGTCATTGCAGAAGCCCTGGTAACCTGAACACACTTAGTAGTTAGTAAAATCTCTCAAAACTAAAGCCAAATAATCACTACTTTTATAAAGGAGTTAATTTTATTAGAAGATATTTGAATGCAACTTTGAGTTGCTCTGGAATAACTCCTGTGAATCTGCTAGAAAAGTACACAAACCTATTTAAAACAATCCCATGTAGTAGTAAGAACGGGGCATTGCTTTGGCATGAACAGGAAACCAGGCACCTAAATGTCATCTGAACTCGGCCATAACTTCATACATGTATCTAATTTATAATGGCACATCGACTGCCCCAGTAGACACTAAAGTTAGTCTGTAACAGGAAAAACTTAAACAACAAATAGTCTGTTAACACTTTAAAAACTACATATTTTGTTAGTCTTTAAAGTGCTAACAGACTATTTGTTGTTTAAGTTTTTCAATAAATGAGCCATGAAAGGAGACTCTGCAATGAATCAAATTCCAAATCACTTGCCTCTGCCAGGCTACTGGAAAAAGCATTAAGTAGTTTTACTTCCAGGCGACCCTCTTAAACTTCCATCTTGACCATAAAGACACAGAAAACAGCATTAGTGGCCTACTGTGTTAACCATGTAATCTGATTCCCCAGTGCCGTCTTTAACGCCAAGCAACTGAATGCAGAGGTAAGAGCTACGTAACTGAGATTACAGTCTATAATTACCTGTACAGAGTTCAGGTTAGCAGGAGAAAAGCATGTTCTGCCTCTTGTTCTTGGCTCTCCTCTTCCGAGGTTGTGTTTACAGTCTCTGCTCCTGTTTAGTTATAAGCCGCCTCTGGTTGTCTTCTGATAGCCAAGTCCCCTGATGGTTTTTCACTAAGTTTCCAGATGAGATGAGATTGATCTGGTAGAGTGAATGATCTCCAGCAGCTCCCAGTGTTATGTGCAAGTGGCCTGCCTCTGTCACTCCGGTGTCTTTTATACCTTCCTGTCTGAAGATGATTACCTGCATCACCTGGCTTTCCCAATTATAAGTGAATCATTCAATTGACTGCAAGAACATTTCCACTAGGGGGCGGTTTCTCTTTTGACAGATAAAGCAGGTTGGAAGGTCACTGATGAGAAACAGGGCTGAAGTCATACCTGCTCGCTGACTGAATTGTTGCTGTTTATTGAATCCGATGATGAGAAACATTTCTTTGCTTATCTGTGGCAGCCAGCCCTCGTTAGAGTATGTTTGTCTAGGCTTTGGCCTGGGCCGGTCTACTCTAGTTTTAAGTAGTTCATGTTAAATGCTTCTGGGCTTACAATTCCACCACAGAGGACAAAAGATTTTATGGAAAACTTAGCATGCATTAGTAAGTGCAGCAAATTTTAGGAAGGTTACTATTTTTCTCCTGATTCTTCTTTCAAGATAAATTACGTTTGAAATCATTTTGGGTCTGTAGCAAGAAAGGGACCACCTTGGGGCTTCCAGCAAGAGATGGGATATCTTTGAAGCGCCCCTGCCATGATTTTGGTTGAAAAAGTGGGTTTGTTTTAATGGCAGTGCCCTACTGGCAGCTAACGTGTGATCGGTCTCTCTGTAGGCCGATGAAATGTATAGACTGTACCTTAGAGCCCTGCGCAGATACAAAATTTGTGCCTGCATCTGTATCCACAAAAAACGAGCAATGGAGATCCTCAGATTTTCAGGGCTCTATCTAGACTTGCTAGGTAATTCTATAGGCTAGCTCAAAATAAGCCTATAGGCAGAATCCCATTCTCTACTAAAGGGTTTTGCGCTGCTGTGGAGCCATATTTAAATTTATATGGTGCCTTTTTTGTGTAGGGGGTGATGTTAACTGGCTAAAGTCCATTGACTTTCAGTGGGAACAGGGTGCCTAACTCAATTTGTGCCTTTGAAAATCAAGCCCTTTCCCTCATCCCTGTTAAATTCTATATGTCACTGTGCCAGAAGGGTGGATTTTAGGACTAAGAAATGTGATCTCTAATTGGGTTTTTTGTTTTTTGTTTTTAATTAAATCTGGAGTTACCCGACCTGTCCATGGGTGCTTTTTATCAGGTCTGCTATATAGCTCCTGAAGACCACTGCAATCCTTTCTGAGATTTTCTGACATTGAATATCCAGATTACCCTGAAAATGGGAGACCTGACATGGAGGAAGGAGGAATGAACAGAGAAGCTACTTAGCAGATACATAGCTCATCTTCTGCCTTGGGGCATCCAAACTGAGCAGCAGGACACGTGAATAATAATAGCAGAGACTTGTGTGCACATATGTGCGTGTGTATGTGTGTACCTACAATACTTGGCAGGCATCATCTATGTCAGTGAGCAGCTTGTGTATCTAAGCATATTAATAAGCATCTCTGCTTTGTCTGAGTGCTGCTAAAGTTGGAGCAATATAAATAACTTAGTGCCCGTGTCCATCACGATGCAGCCTGGAAATACGCAACCAACAAATGCTGCTTTTGTGTTGGCAAAGTTGAGGGTTGGGTCATTGGCAGGTGTAAATGGGCAGCACTTTGCTGGCATAGCTCCACTGACTTTGGTAAGCAGGTGAAGATCCGGCCATCTTCCCAGGTTTGTAGGCAAGGTGACACTCAAATATTCCAATGGAGGAAGACTGTTGGGAAGAGAAACGGACAGGAGGATTTTAATTCAACCCAGCCATTCTGCTATTGCCAGCTGTTGTGCCCTCTTCCTAGTTTCAAGCTTTGCTTTGTTTACCTTGGTTTCCCTACTAGCCCCGGGGCTGATGGACACATGTGGAACTGAATGACTCCGCTCCAGCGGTTGATTGCCTGGAGTGAGGAGGGGAAGTCTGTGTGTCTCATATGTGCTTCCGTCACAAGGGCATGCTAGATCTGCACAGCACTGAGTGTGCCCAGACTGATTGCAATTTTGGCACAGGAGATCAGGTCTTGAGTTATAAGACAGGACTATGCAGCACTTTAAAGTGCTGCATAGTCCTGTCTTATAACTCAAGACCTGATCTCCTGTGCCAAAATTGCAATCAGTCAGAAATTGCATTTTTCCTTTGTACATAGGGGTCAGAACAGACAATGACACGTGTACACCCGGCTAGAAATATTTGTTCTCATTACTTTTTGTCCACAGTTGAGGAAGTGTGGTTCAAAAACTGGACTAGGTCTCAGGAGATCGGGAAACAATCCCTAGCTCTGCCACAGACTCTCTTTGTGATCTTGGGCAAATCACTCAGTCTCTGAGCCTCAATTCCCCATATGTTAAAAAGAGGGGGGGCGAGAACTATCCTTCCCTCTCCCTTACACTTTGCCCATCTCATCAATTTAGATTACAAGACAGGTAGGGCAGAGGGTGTGTGTGTGAGAGAGAGAGAGAGACAGACTCGGGCCCTTGATCTGTATTCATTCCTCAATTAACCTTCCAGTTACCCACTGTGGTAGCGGGCATTCTAGAGTATTTTCCTATTCAGTTATCTGTGGTCTCTCTGTGCTGTGGGCAAAGGGAGAACTTCTTGGGTGACCATTGACTCCACAGCTCCGAAAAACCCTCCCCCCTGGAATTTATTTGTAACCACTCCCAGGCAGACGCCTTCCTTGGTAAAAGCTGACTGGGCAAGCAGGACTGTGACTTAACATAAATATTTGGCGACCTGCCTTTGTTCTAAAATCAAGTATACAGTAAAATGGTAATACAACAGCAATCAACATTTCTCTTTTAGTTTTAACTGACTGTTTTCCAGGGTTGGTTCAGCAAAACTAAAAGAGAAACGTTGATTGCTGTTGTAACTGACTGTTTTCCAGGGTTGGTTCAGCAAAATATGCCTCTTTCACTTTTCCCCTGCATTGTGTACAAATTGAAAGGAGGCAGTCCAGCCAATAAAATGCGACAAGGAAAATAAACACATAAAGCAGGAGATCAAAGGGCTCCTTGGTTTCTGGAGGGCAAGGGCTAGTCTTTAGGTTATGGTTTTTGCTGCTTGTACCATGGCTTTTTGGATTGCAGCTCAAAGGGATGGAAAAGCTGGTGGTTGTGGGTCGCCCCAAACCTGGGCTGTCTTTATAACACTTTGAAAGCTAGCTATAAAGTGCTGAGATCTGCAAGTAGGAGACACTATTGAAATACTAAGTGTTAATCACAAGTGCTTCTGCCAGGACTCTCTTTATCAACCCCTCCCTCTTCACCAGGTCATTCTGTTGATAAACTTAAACAACAAAAGATCTGGTAGCACTGTATAAATAGACTAACAAAACATGTAGATGGTGTCAGAGCTTTCGTGGGCACAGCCCATGTCTTCAGATGACCAGAGGTTCTGATGATGATCATGCCCCTCCCAAACCTCTTCTCTGGCTTCCTGATGGGGCATCTTATTTCATGCCAGAGAATAATCAGTTCAGTGCTAAGGCCAGGTGAACTGATTTTTTTTTTTAAACAAGACACACACAAGCCTGGCCAAATCTGCCCTGGAGTGCAAATTAGACTGGCAAGGCCAGAGGGGGTTAATTGTAGGCAGTGGAGAGAGTTTGCCTAGATTGCATTTTCCACCAGCATTCAAATTCCTGATCCCGAGCCCATTCAAAGAGAATGGAAATTCTCCCATTAGCTCCGATGAGCTTGGACACAGATACCCCTGCAGCGGTTTGGGTTTACGCAGGGCTCAACACGCAGCCCACAGGTGGGAGCCTTTGAATGTGGCCTCCACTGGGAACTCGCTCCACAACAACGAGTCAATAGAATGGTCTTCTGCTGAGATGTATTTTAGTAGTTAAATTCCTGGGCTGTCATTGCTCATTAAAAGTGCTGTCATATGGGTGGAAGTCGGATAACTATTGCATGTTATTAATATCAGCAGAACTGACTTAAATGGGGCCTGTATATTGTGTAGTCTTGCCTTAATCTTTGTATTCATGCCTGTCAGTGTGAAAGAAGTTGTTTGTATATATTTGCATATATATTTGCATGTACATGTTGTGGCCCTTGGCATGTGCTGTGAATATCATTGTGGCCCCTGAGGCTTCCAAAGTTGAGTAGTCCTGACGTAGAGTGTATGTTGCATTAAGGGCTGGGGTATTTAAAAGGGTAACCCAAGGAATGAACATGTCCGCTAGCAAATGTTCCCTCTAATCTTTTCCATCCACGTGTGGAATAAATTGTAATGTGCACCAAGACAGGTGTGAATGTGCACCATCAGTAGAAACAAAAACCCAGCTGTGGGCACTCTGCTAATCAGCTTGGCAGCACTTGAATCTCTCCTGAGCAGCACTTAGAGATCCTGAGCTGGAGCATCACAGGGTGGCACTTTTGAGTCTCGATCCAGCACTGTAAAGAGTAAAAGCTTCTCTCTGTCAGTTATGGCAGGCCAAATCAAAGCCCCAGAACCACCCAGCTCTGGTGTGTAGCCTTGTCCCAAGCTTCACCCAGATGTGCCTACTCTGCACTATTACGCCTCACTACAGGAAATGAGGAAGGCCAGCGATTACATAACAATGAGAAGATGCAAGGAGGTGAGGATATGATGTCATAGCCTTGTGATTATTGCTCGGCTCGGGCCCCATAGCTGCATGATTCATTAGCCAGTCATGGCATCATTCCCAAATAGTAGGAATAGCAACCATTCTCCTGGAGTTAATGTCAAGCTTTTTTCCCAGCCAATTACTGCTTAGGAAGCATTGGCTTGGGGCTTCTGTCATTACTGCAAGCTTCCTCCAGCCATGGTGAACATTTAAGCCCTAGATGATGTACTGGTAGATGTCAGTCCTTCAAAATGTTTTCAGCTGTATTTCCATAGGCTTGGACTCTTTCAGCTCACCTTTATGCTGTTCAGTTGTTTACACTTCTGGGCTTTAAGGACTCATAGACTTTAAGGTCAATATGCACCTTCATGATCAACTCTTACTATAAAAATGAGTGGTCGTGTGGCACTGTAGAGACTAACCAATATAGAGAGAATCGTGGACTTTTGTGGGCAAAATCCACTTCCTCAGATGTAGTCAGCTGATGAAGTGAGTTTTGCCCATTCACATTCATGATTCTATATATTTTGATTGGTCTCTAAGGGTGCGTCTACACAGCAAGGTTATTTCGGAATAAAGGCTGTTATTCCAAAATATGCGAGCATCTACACAGGAATTCTGTTATTTCAAAATAATTTTGAAATAACGGACGGCTTATTCCGACTTCTGTGAACCTCATTCTATGAGGAATAATGCCTATTCTGA